TACTCTCTTGGTGAATTCTTTCGATGTACACAGGTGTTTTATCTTCAGTATATCCCATTTGTCAATTTGTGCCTCCTCTATACACAGCCTTTTAAAGAATTACACACATACAAAATTCTCAAGTACTTCTACTGGGGTGGGAACTTCCATGGGGGCAGCAATGCATTCTGGGAAACGTAGTTTCAAGATGTTTCCATGGACTCTGCACATGTCCAAATCTCTACCGCTCTTCCCTTGCCTAGTTTCAAATATGTATATATACATATGCATAGATATAATTAGTCCAAATCTCCACTGCTGCTTCCTTGTCCAGTTTCATATATATGTGCATAATTAGTGATCGTTTAGTAATTTTTTTAAACATTAAAAATAATTAAACCTCTTTTTATATTCTTGATGTGGCTGCTAGGAAATTTTAAATAACCTATGTGGTCCATATGTGTGGCTCACCTCACGTTTCTGTTAGTGCTGGTCTAAATGTCCTCCCCTGCCAAACCCCACCACCAGGTCACCTGCCTGTGCTGCCTGAGCGTCTGCTCCAGGACTGTGGTGTCCAGGCACAGCCCTGCAGCCTTCCAGACTTACTAAGCTGCCCAGAGGTGATGCTGGGACCCATCTTCCAGAGAGGCCTCTCAGGGGGCTGGCCCCACAAAGGTGACTTCCTAAAGGCAGGGGGATTATCACTCTCAGAGACCAGGCCTTTTTAGAAACCCAGTAGCCAGTGTTGGGTGGAGGTGACTGGTTGGGGGACATGGCCACGTCAGAATAACCCAGTGGTGGAAATGCACCAAAGCCACCCGTTGGCCCCTGACCGGTTCCTCCCAGGCTCAGCCAGCCTTCACTGAAGTGTCCAACAAGGAGACTGTGCCCGGTTCTCATCTGGCCCACCGCCTGCTCCGCACTGAGCATGTGGGACCTGGCAGTTGGTCCCACCTGCCCGTCATCTGCCCTTCCCAGCAGACCCCCAGCACCACCCAGACCACGGAGTGTGTGTTGGTGCAGAGGGACCCGGAAGGAGTCCACCTGCAGTCATTTTTTTTTTCTTTTGCTCTGCTTCTTCCCTCTTGCCCCGTCTATGTTTTAACCATAAGTCCGCTCCTTCCAGTTTCTTCCCTGAGGCCTAAGAGGCTGTTTGATGATCCTTGGCCTTCTCCCCCCGGAAGTGGCAAGGCAAGGCCTGTGAGAATGCAAATCCTGAGACGTGAGTGTCCTGTCTCCCTGTACTGCGTCCAGAGAGCCCCCTTGGCTAAGCTCCCAGATCCGGAATTGAGCTGGCTTCAAATGATAGCTGTCTGGAGCACTGCGTGTAGTGAGTAAAACCTGTGTGTTTCTCCAAATTGGGGAGCTGAGCAACCCTTCATTTGAACCCTCCCCTCCCCCATGTGACCTCCTCCGTGACACAGCAGCATTGTCTCCTGTGTAAAGTGAGCGTCTGCGGCGGGTGACACAGAGCTACTCAAACGTGTGTTGGGTAATGACTATCCAAAAAGGTCATGGAGCAGTTACTGTGTCCTGGATGCTTGGCACCCTAAGACAGACACAGCTTCTGCTGCAAGATACGGGACAGGGAGCCATACAAATGTTCGGCCTGAAGGATCAGGCCTCTTGGGGGAGGGGATTCCTGAAGACCATCAAATGCCCCAGTTGGTAAAGGAAGAGGAAAGATGGTCTGAGGAGAGGTTCATGGCGTGTCCCAAGGCCGAGAAGAAGGACTGAACTTGTGCGTTCAGGGAGCGGAGCGTGGTGTAAGATGGCCAGAGGGTGGAGTGGGTGTGGGAAAATGGAAACAGGTGAGACTGGAAGGATAGCTGGGGGGTTGTTCACGAAGGTTGTGTGTGCCGGGCTGAGCCCACAGGGGCCTGAGGACATGCTGGCACCCTGCTGTGGAGCCAGCACCTGCTCAGGATGACCCATGGGCCACACACCGATCTCTAGGCCTGTCTCCTGTGGTGCCGTTGGATAGATTCGAACCTCCAACCTTCCGTTTAGTCAGGTGCTAATGCTATGCACCACCCAGGGCCCCGAGGGC